GTTAAATAAGCCGACATACCATATTTTTGACCCGACCCGGATTCTGCCCCGGCAGTCCCTAGTAAAACCTTCATAACTTTTTACTCTGATATCGGTTTGATACGGGGTTTTGTGCATTGCAAACTAGACTCATATGCCTTCGATTTAATGGGTAATAGGCCTTCTAACTCTTTATGTATTGGGAGAAAACATCCAATACATTTGACCCAAATTTCAGAGAAATCTTTAAAAAGGAACTTACGATAACTTTTGCCAACTTTTATTTTGCCACTTACTTAACTTCAAACTTTGAGATACAACCCTTGAACACTTAAAATATGACATACCACAACATTTTTAATTTATTACTCATCCTCTTTGTCTTTCCACGAATGTATGAATTAATTTAGACGTTTAGACACGTCGGGGTGTTACACTTTGGGTGCGCACAGGGTAAAAACCCCGCTCCTATGCAATAGCTCGCAATAATTTATTTTTTTTTGTACTGATTTGTGTTTTTTTCTTGAATAAGAAAAAAAGAAACAAGTGAGTAGGAAGATTTATTAATCTTTATTCGTGGTATTTCAATGTCACGACAAGTGGAAAATATATCCATCCTTTTCTATCCTCATTTTATGAATTCGTTTGAAATTCATACCTTCCACCCACCTTTCATAGTGTCTCTCCTTTGCCCTCTTCTTTTCCATTTTCATTTTTTTCGTTTTTTGAAATAAGAATTTATTGCGCTCTTAAGGAACAAACTCTTCTGCTGCCATTTTCAAATTGTCATCCAAGAAAAAAATTAGAGCAGAAAATAGGGAGATATTCCTCTTCCTTTTTTTATTTTTTTATGAAGTGAGATTTCATTAAGGCATCCAATAGATGCAAAGATACAAAAGGATCTGCCAGCTCAGTAAGAACAAAAACTTATAAAGCTAAGGAGCTAACAAAATCCAGGAAGTGATCTAAGTTATTTACAGGGAAAGAGTTAGCACAACTAAAAAGGTTTAACTAAACAACTAGCCTTGTGTTCAAAAATTGGAGTTATAACTCCATCGAAAGATGTCCTGTTTCTTTCATTTGAAAAACACCAAAAAATACAGGCTGGGGTCATGATCCAGATTTTTCTGATGGATTTTCTAACTTCCATAGAGCTCCTACTAGTGTAGGGATCTCCGATTTTAAAGGGCATAAACCTGTTTATATGTTGCAAAAGGGCAGTGAAGCACAAGGTGGTTGATGCTTTCTGATGTTGACCGACTCATGTAAAACCTAATGACCAGTTGGAATCTTCTTCTCATGAGATTGTCTTGAGTGAGGCATGCTTCTTAAGGCTGTCCAAGTAAAACATGAAACTTTAGGGGGAAGTTTAGTTTTTCAGACTAATTTCCAGGGCCATAGATCAATCATCATCTTATTGGAGCTCAAGTGCTCATATCCTGCCTTGACTGTGTATAAACCTTTACTGTTGAAGTCCCGTTTTAACTTATCACTGCTCTGAATGTTAATGTTGCAGTTCTCTAAGCTTTTCATCTGATTCAATAACTCTTCACATTCTCAATCTTGCAAATTTCTTCTTAGGTTCAGGTTCCAAGAGTTTTCATCCCTGTGCTGAGCAATAGAATAATTAGGATGTCTGCAATGTTGAATATATTTTTGGAAGGCTTCTTTCAAAGTGGAGTCTCCTGTCCATTTGTCTAGCCAGAATCTGATATGGTTCCCATTCCCTACCTCAAAGTGAGTTTGTTTGAAAAAATCACCCCACGAGGTATTAATGGCCTTCCATTATCCAGTTCCGTAGGAAAGTGTGGATTGTTTTGTACACCATTGGCATTGGGTGTTGCTGCCATGCTTAGCCACAATTACCTTTTTCCATAGATTAACATCCTCCTGAATGAACCTCCAATGCCACTTCATAAGCATACACTTGTTATGTATAGCAAGATCATTGATACCAAGGTCACCAAGATGTTTGAGAAGAGTGACTTTTGGCCACTTCACAAGGTGTAATCTGTGAGATTCACTGTTGCCTTCCCATAAAGTCTTTCCTGATTTTATTTAGACGCTTCAAGATTTTGTCGGGGATTGGGAAGAGGGACATGAAATATGTTGGGATGCTATCCAAAATACTGTTTATTAGAGTCAATCTTCCTCCTAGAGAAAGGTTCTGCATTTGCCATGTAGCCAGTCTTCCCCCAAATTTCTCAATAACCCCATCCCAGATTTCAGTTGCTTTGTGTTTGGCCCCAAAAGGTAGTCCCAAATAGGTTTTTGGGAGATTGCCATTAGTGCACCCCATAATATCAGCCAGCTCCACCAAATTTGGCACCACATTTACAGGATAAATAGCACTCTTCGACATGTTAATATGAAGGCCAGATAATGGTTCAAAAATATGAGGGTGAGGTTAAGGTAGAGAACTTGTGATATTTCAGCACCACAAAAGATTAGTGTGTTAACTGCAAATTATAGGTGTGAGATGAACCCAGGAGTCTCGCTGTTGGTTCCAATCCTGAAACCCTTCCTCCACTGTCTCTGTTTGCTTTCTCAAGCATGCAGCTAGGGCCCTCCATAGAGAGAATGAAGAGAAATGGAGAGAGAGGATCCTTGTCTGATCCCTCTCATGGGAGAAAAGAATCCCACTGGACCACTATTAATCAGGATTTCACAGTAGACATGCTGTATCTTATCCGTCTGATCCAGTTTTCCCCGAACCCCATCTTTCTGAGAATTGAGATTAGGAATGCCCAGTTTATATTGTCAAAAGCTTTTTCTATATCAAGCTTAAAAGGAGACCCACTTCCCATTTTTGTGTTTCCAGTGCAGAATTTTATTAGCAATTTTTTGTAGCGTGTGTGATTTGCCAGCCTTTAATAAAGGCATTTTGATATCCTGAAACCAGCTTTCCAGTTACCTTTTTGAGTCTTCCAGCCAGCATCTTAGCTCTGATTTTTTAGAAGCTACCGATTAGACGAATGGGTCTGTAGTCAGTTAGTGCCATAGCTCCCTTTCTTTTTGGTATGAGGGCAATGAAAGATGCATTAAAAGACTTTACCATGTGACAATTGTGATGGAAGTGATTGAGAGCTCCAAGTACGTCATTCTTAATTGTATCCTAGTTCTTACGATAAAAGGCCATTGTAAAGCCAAAACCATAAATCTTTTCACAAAGTTAAGTTCAATCCATATCAAAATAAAGTGAATCAAAGAAAGAAAAGTTACATCACACAAACTTGGAAGAACCCTAATTTTGTTCTTTTCAGTGAAGGAGATAACTCTAATGGCTAATGGATTTTTGGTTTGGATAAATGGGTTCAGAAATCTAGGATGGGTTGACTATAACCAATATTGACACATGGACTCCACATGTCCAGTTAGAAGGTGGGCCGGAGAGTTCCGTTAGGTGAGGGGAATTGTGACCCAACGTGTAAAACCAAGGGCATTTTAATCCGATAACTCAAAAGAAGGGTAAATATAAATAATTTCTCAAAGTATAGGCGGGTAAAAATGACATTTTTCCGTCTGCTTAATCGTATATACCTTCATGGTAAAGTAATGTCGTTTGAAGCATATATCATGTTAGATAAGAAAACCCATGTTAACATGGATCCTGATTATTCTTGCATCCCCCATGCTTTTCTTATAAAAAAGAGATACTATGTTCACACAGATACAACTTGATATCTAACTTTGCTGAAAGAAGTCTGTGTCTCAAGAGAGCGTCAATGCTGATTCTTTATGCTTTAAACCGTGTTATTTGCACTCCATGTTTTTTGTGCATATATTTGCACAATCTTAAGCTATAAATACTTCATATCTTGTCCTTGACTACGTACAGCATTCTAGGTATTAACCCTCTTCCCCCCGAAATCAATTAATAAAAATAAGAAAAGTAACCGAAGAAAGGGAAAAGACCAATGTATTCCGGATGGAATGCATGGGTCTTGTCATTCATGTGAAGTGTGTCAAATGTTGTAAACAATATATGAATATATATATTTTTTGAGGACGATAATATTAGAATATATAATTTTGCAGCACCTTCTTGAATGTTTTTGTGAATTGTTTCAGGAATGAGGGGGGGTGTTATTGACAAATTAAAATATCAATTTTATCAGGGAGATAGATTCCCTTTTAGATATATTCTTATGTTAATTAAATTAGCATGTCAAGTCATAGATCAACTGATGATCATGGCTTAATTGCCTTGTTTTTTTGGACCTAAGCCAATCTTTAATCACAGGCGTTCATTGCTCACTCAGTCACCATTTCTAAGCCTTTCAACTGATTGTACTCCTGATTCTGAGGTGCCTACTAGCAGAGCAGATGAAAGCAAGAGCTCATCTGGAACAGCAGATCATCACACACCTCAAACTGACCCAAAGTCTGTGACGAGAAATTCCTCAAGCTTTCAGCAAAGTATTAATAAAATCTCACCAGAAGCTATGCCATGCTCTACCACTCGTTCTTCCAGAGAAAACAATGGAAATTTAGAGAGTCGGAAAAGAAAGTTGAGCTATTATCAAGCAACTTCACTGCCAGTTATAAATTTACAAAACGAATTCTCCCGTCATGCTACAGCAGCTGGTGAAAACTTGCATCTTTTGGAAGAAGCAGCTGAGAATGTAGTTGGTGATCCATTTGATGATGACCTGTTTTTTCAAAGTATCGATTTTGATGCAGTGGAAGAAGAGGCTACTAGAATGCTTAGAAACAAATCACAGTCCTTGGTTCAAAATACAGTGACCTCAATACCTATTACTCAAATTTCCGCCGATGGCGTAAACGCTCCTTCATTTGATCTGGGAATTTAGTGTTGCTGTCTTAACTGTCAAATTTTGTATGACAGCGTGAATGATCATTTATGTAAAGGAAAAACATAATAAGTTATTATCTGTGCAGAATAGAATAGTTGTATTTATCATTTAATAGGTTACAGAAAAGTCTATCTTGATGAAACTGAGACTGTATTTGCTAGGAGTATGGAAACATTTTGATTGTTTCCAAAATGTATATAATTTCAAGATTAGTGTTCCCTTGGTCCAAGTAAAGTTGTGGGGCTTTTGTTAATAGCCTGTGTTTTATCAAGGTGGTGTGTTTCTCTTATTTGTCACGAGTAGCTTAATGTATAAAGGATTTGTATATTGGGGTGACAAACGGATAAGTCGAATCGGATATGGGTCAATAGAAAATGAGTTAGGTGAAAATGGATAAAATATTCGATTTGACCCATATTTAATAGAAAAAAAATTAGTAAACCCAATGGATGATATGCATATCTATATATGCATATCTATATTATACATTGCCTCTTAGAGTTTTTGGTTAAAATCATCCCTCAACTATGACTCAAATTTAATGTATATCCTTGTATTATCTATGTGAGCAAAAAATATCCTTATACTGTCAAAAAAATAACAAGAATCATCCTTCAGTCTATTTTTACTTTTAGAGTGTTTGATATGAAGGAAAATATTTTTATGTTTTCCTAAAAACATATTTTTTTGAAAAAATGAATAGTTTTGAGTCAAGGTCGAGAGGTCAAAACAAGGATCTCGGATTGAGAGATGGGTCATGATTGGGTGGGGGTTGAAAGTTGGATCCCAGGTCTGCATCTGTTTCGAGTGGTGAGGTATGTTTTGAAAAATATTTTCCTGATTTAAAGAAAGCTTTGAATGTTTTTGTTCCTTACTTTATATATTGAAGTTATTTTATTTTTTAAAATTAGAGGAAAATAAGTCGATTTAAAAAATATTTTCAAAATATTTAAGTCAATCAAACATAAAAAAATTGAAAAATATTTTTAAAAATTATATTCTTCATTTCAAACACATCCTTAATAAGTGTATTAACAAAAATAATGGATGCATTAATTTTGTGTATTAGTAGTATTTTGTTTGATATACTTTTTATACTATGTATAACTTTTAGACCATCTCCAACTCACCTCTATTTTACTCTCCATTCTCTATATTTAGAGAGTAAAATAGAGAATGGGTACTCCAACCCATCTCCATGTCACTCTCTATTCTTCATATTTAGAGAGGTGAATGGTAATTCTCCAAATTTGGAGAACTACATTCACACTCTCTATTTCACTCTTTGAATATTTTATTATTATTTCTATTACTTTCTAATTTAACATATAATTTTTACATATAATGTCATTAATTAAATATCTAATATTCATAATTCTTTTTAAAATGTAATATAATATTTTAAAAAATATATTATTTAATATATACTATTTTCATCCAGAATTAATAGTATTTTAATTTTTTTCTAATTTTCTTCAATGATATAATTTGATCTTATTATTAATTTTCACTATAAAGAATATACAAAATTAAAATGATAAGATGAAAAATTTAATTTAAAAATACAATACATAATATGATAATTTAAATACAAGATAAAATACAATACATAACATAATAATTTAAATACAAGATAAAATACAATACATAGCATAATAATTAATTCGCGATGAAACAAAAATCATGCCGAAAAGATGTTGAACGTGCATTCGGAGTTTTGCAATCACCTTTTTCAATTATTGTAGGACCGTCACTTTTTTGGAGAAAGGAAGTGCTACATGATATAATGACTACATGTATTATACTGCACAACATGATAATTGAGGATGAACGTGATCTTGATGCACCAATTCAAGATTCGTAGAGGCTCCAACTCCAACGACAGAAATGGTGGTAGATGAAAATCTCCGATTTGAACAATTTTTAGCTAGACATAAAAAAATTAAGGACAAAAATGCTCATTTTGAACTTCGTAATGCATTAATAGAGCATTTATGGAAGCAACATAATAATTTCAAAAATTGAGTGTTTATGCAATTGTATTTCACTTTTATTTGAATTTATCCATTAATTTGTATATTATATAATATTTTATTGCAATATATGTTATTTAAAAATTTAGAATAAAATATTTATATTAAATAAAAAAATTGAAAAAATAAAATTTTATATCACATGAAAATTATATAAAGTAATTATTGGAAAAAAGAATAAAGGATTTATATTATGAAATAAGAAAATACGAATGAAATAGAAATAATAATATAATATTGAGGATTTAAAATAAAATAAAAAATAATAATAATAAAAATTTAAAAAATAAAATATATATATATATATATATATATATATTTATGATATTGATATTAGTATTATAATAAATTAAATTTTATTATTTATAGAAAGAGATTCTATAATAAGTCAAAAAGAGCTTATGGAATCTACTAGTTCAAGTGCTAGCCCGTTCCAACGAACTTCTCAACACCATACAGTAGACACAAGTATAGGAAATGTACCAAGAAGACGAGTCTATAGGGTAAACCCAGACACAGTAACTGAAAACGTAAGACCAATGGGTAGAAGGATGCCTATAGAAGAACCTATTAGGTTACAAGAAGGAGGAAGTAAAGGAAAAATATTAAACATAGCAGCACATGACCCTCAAATGTGGAACGCAGTAATAGATTTATGGAAAGGAATAGTAGTAGCAGACTATATAAAAACATATCAAGAGGCAGACGCAGAAACAATGTATAAATATATGGAAACTTTTCTAGGAGAATCTGCAAAAGCCTTATGGGAAGCATATAAATCTAATTTCCCACAAGAATTCCAAGCTTTAGTAAACTTGGGAGCAAACCCGTAATACAAGGTAATTTCTGTAATTTTGGTAAAATTACAAAACAAGTAGAAATAGTAACCACTAAAGTTATTGAGTTAAAAAAGACGATACAACAACTAGAAGATAAACTCCTTTCATGAACGATCTATGCCAAGAACCATCCTACATAAAAGCCTTAAAATTTGCAGGAAGTATCCAACCAGATCCGCAAGGATTGTCTGACCACCAATCTTCAAGTAAATCAGATCAAATAATTATTAAACAGAACAACACTATAATAATTTTACTGATAGAATTAAATAAAAAATTGGATAAAATAATTAAAGAAAAAGAAGTTATAAAAGAACAACCTAAAAATACTGACATAGAAGAATTAATAAATCAATTAAAAAATATTGAAATTACTCCACTCAAAGAAAGACCTACTATAGTTAGAAAATCCCAAAAATGGACTTTCTTTCAGGTAGAAGAACAACAACCGAAGAAAGACCACGAGTAAGTTTTTCCGATAATAGAATAGGAAATAGTTTTATATCAAGAATATTAACAAGAAATAAGCAAGAAGATAAACAAATCCAGGAGTTAAATGAAGTAATAGACATAGATAAAGACCTAAGAATATTCCAACAGAATCAGTTGAATCTACTAAACCCAAAGATATTATATGATACATGATATTTTGAAAGAAGCAATCAGTTATATAGACACTATAGAGAAGAACAAATTTCAGCCATAGGAAAAGAAATAGCTACTATGAATTTAATAAACCCAGAATCCTTACGAGGAATTATACATAACAGACTAACATTAATGCACATGGGCTTAATAGTAGTAGGATTAAAAGGATTAACCAGAAAGAATCTAGGAACTAAAGTACTAATAGTAATATACGATGATAGATGGTCTGACTTAAA